CACCCCCCAACATCTTTCTACCAACGCTGTACATAACAGCCATGGGAGCAGGTGGGAGAGCACATCTGGAACAAGTCATTCGTTCCGTGCTCCTCTCACTACAGCACATTTCTGACACTGTTCTATTGCATTTTAACTAAGTGAGGGAACTTATTTTAGGCTCTCTGTGATCTGCCACCTTTACTTGCAGCGTTTGAACATACCCCACTGTGAAAAAAAAACAAAAGTTAGCCATATGTAAATTTCGTTTTGCTTCCTGCTCTCCTAAATCTACATACATCAACTTTATGGAGACATCTATCTCCTTAGTAAAGGGACAGGAATACACCAACCATTACTTACGATTCACTCTTATTAAGTTAAGCTCATTTTTCATTTAGTTCTCCAGTTTCCCTAAGAAAAACTACTGAAAATTAATAGTACAGGTCTATAAATGCTATGAGTTTTTGTGAACTCCTCATACTATGAACACAAACAAGTAAACTTTATCAAATTCCATATGTAATTGGTATCCATAACAGGCAACACATCCCAATTAAGCATACACTTGCATAAATATTCTACAACGTGCAAGCACTCAGTTTATGCATTTCATTCATAGATGAGCAAAGTTGGCAGCAACATAGTCTCAGAATAAACCAGAAAAATTACAGAGTATTTTTGTCAAATGTTTAAAAGTAGTGCTCTGTGCAGTCAGTCTCAGCTAAATAGCTATTTGAAGAGAAGTTTCCAGTTTATCCAAGCAAACATCAGCATTCTTGAAGGTGCACACAAGGTTCTGGGCATGCAGTTTTGGACAACTGTGATTTTAAGGACTTAAACCATATTAGAGCCCACAATCCACTTGACCACCAACTGCAGTGCTAATGAAGGCCTGAACCAGGATTTAAAAGCAAGAACAAGTTCACACAATACAGAAATCTATATAGGTTAAATACAAAAAGTTGTAGCACACAGGGAAGAGGGAAGAAGGGAAAAAGAAAAAAGAAGCCATACTCTCCTTTGCCTGCAAGAATATATACCTTTCTACGGTCCAACTACAGAAAGAGGTCAGACTACACGACTCCCTTTGTTACCCTATATATGTATTTATATATTCGCTATGTGAGGTAGACACATATATTTTTATCCAAAGATGCAAACACCACAATGTCCTAGTACATCGTACACCAGCATGAAAAAAACTTCTGCGAAAGTTCTGTAACCTGCAGCTGTAACAGATAAATAAAGAGACTGTGAAAGACGTTAAAGAAAAAAAGAACTAAGATGACATCTAGATTGAAAGACATAAAGAAGATTTCAGTGGATAATCAATCAGGTTCCATTCTGATGAATGCTAAAAAGACCAGCTACATCCCCAACACCGAGCTTCCATCCAGGCTGCCAAAAACATTTGTTTCACAAAGGTAGAATATCCTCAGAAACTAGAAAGAAATATGCAGTTGGCAAAACAGAAGCAGCTTCTTTCTAGAAGTAACTTATAGCAGCTAAATCTAACTTTGCTCAATGCAGTACATAAGTTACAAGATAAGACATGCACAGTGCGCACACACAGTACCTGAAGAAGTGCTACAGTAGTGCTGGTTGCAATCAGACATCACCTGAAGACAGTCAGTTTTTATACGCTAGTGGTCAGTTCAACCTGAAAATGAGTATGGTTGGATTTGCTCCAAAAATCCACCACACCTATTGAATTCACTATGCTAACATCAGCAACTTTTATATGGCACATCGTGTGTCTCAGTTTTTTCTGCTTGAAAATCAGTTGCCAGATTTCTGTGCTCCAGCCTTTAATTCAATTTAGTAGTCCAACTAGAAGATGACAGAATTTCCCAAGTCATAGGTAACAACACAGCCTTGCTATGCGCCATTTACTACAATTTTGCTTTGTCCTCTTAAGTGTGACAGATGCCACAGGAAAAAAGTGCAACTTATTTGCTACATCTAGAACAGGAAGTATCTGTGTACAGTAAAAAAAATCCATTCATTACAATACATTAATGCAGTTTATCACAGCTATCTTTTATATTCCACAGAAAGAAGGTACAATTAAGATATACCTCAGTAGGTCTGCAATACAAGATAACTTACTGAAAAATGCCAACATGAAGATGCCATCATTGCCCACTCTAAGCTGATCTGCATCACTGAAATCATCCCGTGGTGGATACTCTTCTTCCTGGATTTACAGGTTAGTGATAATTTAGTGAAAAGTTTATTTTAGAATAACTATCTGTAGGATTAAAGTATTAATTATGTTTCTAAAATGAGAAGAAAATTGACATTTCTGTAACATGTCCACATCAAGGAAGTTTAAAAGAAAAATAATTCATACCTATAAAACAAATCTTATTTGTTGCTTATATTGACACAGCCCAAATTTTCTGTAAAGGTTTCTGTAGAACATATGTAATACTGCCTATTCATCTTAATTGAAGCTGTAAAATATTTCAGTATTTCAAAGATAAGTACTTTTGACAAACAAAACGAATAGAAATCTCTCTTTTTTTACTGTACCTATCTTGGTACATAGCCAAGCTATTAAACATTTTTTTGGAAAAGTCATCACCTAGTATGGTGGGGGTTTTTTTCTGCCATAAAAGCCTTTTAATGCTTCCCAAAATATAAAATAAAGTTTTAGAATAAAGTTAGTATCTTAAAATAAATTGCTGATGCAACAGCACTGCACTAATTTGAGTATCCTATAACGCGCAGAAAAACAAAGCAAAGAAAACCTCAAGGGTCACTAGAGGGCGCGAGCACATTAAAAGTGTTTAAAAGTCTTTAAAGTCAAAAAGCACAGTGCTTTAAGTCAAAAGTAAACAGAGATGTCAGCCAAAATGATTCAAAGTTTTCTCCCATCGCATCAAAATACTACATCTTAAGATACTGAAAATAGGAGTTTGTTTTGTTTCTCAGTAGTTGATTTTCAACCAACCTTGGCAGACCTTACATACGCGGTTCTGTGTACAAGTAAAACATTGCTGCGACTGTAGAGTGGCAAATGTAAAAGTTTTTATGATGACAGCACTTATTAAAGTGAGCCTGATGAAAACTGTAAAACCAGTTAAAGACACCATTTTTATACTTCAATGAATAACATCAAAACAATACAAGATGATACAAGTTAAATAATGCTGTCGGTAGCAGCAATAATATAGTCTAGACATAAGCATAAGTAACATTCTTTTCCTATTTTTCTCCAATTAATCATTGTGTATTAGAATTGAGATAAGAAATGACCTATAAAAAAAAAATGAAATCAAGGGAGATCAGTTCAAGTGAGATTTACTTAGCTGTTTCACATACAGCAAACATTTACTACTAAAATATTGTAATTCTGATTTTAACACATTATCCAGTCACTGTACCAAATTTTATTTTGTATATTAAGTTCATAACTAAAAGGGCATTAAACACTCACAGAGAAGTAAAGCTCTGTCATGTGATTGCCATGTTCACCTTTGTCAACACAGTGAAATACTTTACCAAGGTACAGTGATTATGGTTAAAAGTGTGCTAGAACAAACTGTACCAACTCGAGGCAGCCAGCTTTACTGTTCGTAACATGGCTGTGAAATTCCAGCTGTGCTGTTTATTTCAGATTAATTAACCAAGACTCTGTATCAAATAACTTACTTTAACAACACTGCTATTCATATAGACAATTCCAAGGAAAGCACAAAGAGCTAGCTGGACAATAATCTTAAGGGGCTATAATTCAACTCTACATAATTTCAGATATCCCTAGATGGTCATCTTAAGTGACTATGAAAGCGTCAGTTTATCTAGCTCAACTTTGCTGCAGCTACAAGACTGATGGGGGAGAAGGAAAGGGAAGGAAGGGCTGAAAACGCATTAAAACAAAGAGCTGCATTTGAATGTGCTTATCTCTGAAATGTATGCTGCAAAAGTTCCTTTATCAAGTCAGGACAACGAAAATTTTTTTTCAATTTTAATTTCAGAAGGTCTATAAAACCCCATATAAAATAATTTTTGGACTTTTTTTTCATCTGTCTGCTAACTACTGTACTTCATACTGGCATTTCCAAACCAATTAGTGAATTATGTTCTATGCAAAATGTTGCCTCAGAAAAAGAAAATTTTGCTCAACTACAATAACAAGTTTACCAGATTTCTCTATATGCACAGGCTTCTCTGAGGCTTATAGGTGTGAGAAACACAGGTGAATATACAACCCAGGGACATGAGAGCAGACATTTGCAAGTAGACACTGCTGTAGTAATTGTGAACAAGTTGTAATTTATCACACTCCACATGAAAAGGGAATTATATTAAACCGAGTTCTATTTACTGACTCCAAAAATTAGCATATCGGAATTATCAGAATGTTTAAGAAATTAAACAGCATCCTGCACTTAAATCACATTCAACCTATATCTACATCATCTACTATTACGCAGTTTTATGATCAGCCCTGCAGATGAAAAGACACCAACTGGCCACTGCTCAAGCCTCTCTAACACTGGCTGTCTTTCACAATGCCCTCATCTATCTACCTGGTGTCAACTGGCTCAGCCTTTCTTCAAAATATAATTGTTTGCCACCATTCATTAAGGAATGAAAAGGGACAACGAAGAGTGACTATCCTCTCTGCTGATGCTTACAACTAAATATAATTTCATAGTAATAGTTCTATTGGATATCGACATTTTCATCAATGAGAATAATTTTAGATTTTATTTATATATGCCTTTTTTTTTAAATGAGAAAAATGTCATTTAACAACACACACAAATCCATAAAATATGTAATACTGTTTCAGTATCTCATATTGATTTTTGACAAATTTAGCCATGTTAAGGATCATGGACAGTATTTCTTGTTTGCTAAATATGCTGATATCTGTATAATCAGAAAACTTACTGTTCCTATGACCAAAGAAACATCTTAACAGAAAAATATATTATCAACATAAATGGCATGTCACACAGTAATTTCTCTAAGCAGAAGAACATCAAATGGGACACATCTATTGAAGTTGAACCTATTAAGGTCTCTCTGTAGTATTCTGCAGAGAGGACTCTCTTTTCCCCTCAATGCTTTTTAACTTTTTCAAATTGAAACCTAGCATGGCATATCGTGAGACAACCACCTGTGATCAAGTAAATAACCAGAGTTTTCAGGAACCCCTTGGATAACTAAGCTGATAGAACTCTTCTCAATGCAGTGGATTTACAGAGGAAAACTTCTGAGGAGGGTCAAATTACTTAATAAACCCCATAAATGATACCTTCAGCATACAAAACAATATGGAGAAGTTAATGGTGGGGGGAAAAAGGCACAATGAACCCCAGAAGCATTTGTTTGCCAGCAGGAAAATTCATAGTTAAAGTCTAAACTAGAGAGAACTATACCATACCTCTGGACGACTGAGGAATATTTCATCAAACAGACTCCTAGACTCCCTAAACTGGGCGTGCTAAGCATGTAAAAACAGAAAAACATAAGACAAATGCAACTGAAAAGCATTAAGTAAAAGCCATTCATTGCAACATACAAACAAGTCATTTAACTGTTAGCAATCCATTTAAATTGACCTTTCAAAACTGACCTTGAGAATTTGAAAACGAAAACATCAAAAACCAGGGTAACTAATGCTATCACTACTGATGACATAGGGCTGCTACAGTTTCTTTGATATATTGAACTATCTGGTAGCATCTGAAAGAAAGAAATGTTTATACACAATCTATTCTTGTAAGACAAGCTACAGAAAGAACTACAAAAACACATACTGAAAGTTTCAGTAAATGTTTAGATTGTTCATACAATCTGTGGACGCAGGGCCTATGATGATGTCTTTAACATGATCTCCCTAGAGTTTTTTTTAAGATCCCTACATGATTCAGGGGAAAGATGTTTATCAAATGTGCTGCCTTACTATAGCATTTTCCTCTCTTTTGCTCAATGAGTAGGTGCATAGCCTTCTTTACTGCCCACTTTGGACTATATCATTAAACAATTACCAGCTTCATGTATCACTCAAGGTAACATAAGGACATTTAACTTTTTCCAACTGTTAACATTATTGTAATGAAGAGACAATATATCCTCATTTTACAAGGAAGAAACCAGAGGCAAAGACCATAGCAGAGTTCACATTCATAATGGCACTAATTTCATAAGGCTGAAAATAAAAACTGAAAAAAACTCCATGTTACATCGTTTGTGTTTGTTTTGCAAACTGTGTAATATACAAGTTAGGTACTGTCCACAGCTGTCACTGCTTGTGATCTCCAAGACAGTGAAGGAAAACAATTAACCACATACCAGTACCACAAAGTTTATGTCACTTATCCGTTCTTCCACAGGTATTCAGAGCTAAGGATCAAAATCCTTCTCAAGCTGGCAAACCACCACTCTAACCATAACACAACCTTTTTTTTCTTATTTCAGTCATCTGCCAGGCATTAAATAAGGCAGGGATTTTGCGGCAGCATCATGTGGTAACGTAATTAAAATGGCATTAATTAAAACTGCACTGGCATGGAACTTTAGTATCATCACAAAACTGTAACTCAACTTCAGCATTTCCTACTTTTCCCCCAAATCTCAACTTTGCAACCTCAATACTGTTTCTTTAATAGAGCTTGTATGTGTGCATGTGTGTGCTTTAAAAAAAAAGAAAAGAAAAACCCAAAAAAACACAGAAGCAAACTGAGTAGAAATTCTATCAAACTTGAGATCTTTAGCAGTCATAACGACTGTGGCTTTTAGGTACACCAAGTAGACTCCTGATACTAACTCAGTACTGCCGTACGCCTACAACTTTTTAGCCTATCTCTGTTTTGGGGGAATGATGGTGCGTTCCTACTGATTTTTCATATTCTTGGGGTGTCAGCACCTAGTTCTTGAATGTCAAGTTATACTGTATGTTTTGGAAAAGCAGACTAAGGTTATTTCTCAATTTGTCACCATATCCTGCTCTCCTGTCTCAAGTCCAAATTCCTTCTCCCTCCCTACTCCTCTTTTCTCACACACCAGCTTCAGCTCCTTTCCCAGTACCACATTTTGTGCCCACTTGAGTTCCTTTCTTCACCAATCCCCGTTTACCATTCTCCCTCCTGTTTCTCATTTAAATCTCACTGTGCTCCCTCCATACCACTGCTCTCCATTCACCCTTGTCTTTTCTTGACTTAGACCAATCCTCTTCGATCCCTGCCTGTGCACACTTTGAGCCAGTTACCTCCTAGCCCAACCAAATCCAGACTTCTTTTCCCACAACACGTAAGCTTCAGAGGCTCAGTCATTATCTTTCTTCAATCCACCTACCACTGACGCCCTTGCAGTTCAATCAAGTGGCTTTCCCCTTCGCTTCTAACTGAAGGCCAAGAATAATAAACTACTTCAGGGCACAGCAGAAATTCCTATTCCTCAGTTCCAGTGTTTTCACCAAAAGCAGTCAAGTGCAGTTATAAGGTGTATCTACTTTTAGTCCTGTAATCCTACTCTGATACAGAACATTTCAGAACGTTCTCTGGGGACAACACATCTGCAGTCCCATCCCCTTCAGAGCTATGAGCAGTCTAAATTTGTTCATGCAAGACAGTCTCCACACGTTTACTAAAACTGAAGCTGTATGAACTGTGGAAACTCATTTTTCAAAAACTTGTAATTTGGCCAAAACCAGGCAGGTTTTCTGAGGAAGGGCAAAAGATGTCTCTGACACAGTGACCCGAACTTGCAAGAAAAAGTCCTCCAAAGTAAAAAAAGCTTAAAACAATAAGGCAAAACACAATGATTTATTTATTTATTGCTTAGCTTTATTCTTGAAACTTGCTGAATCCCAGCCTGAGGTTTTCCCTGTGAAACTCAGGTCAAGGAAGATGGCTTCTATGTCTGAAACTTTCACCCCACAGGGTTCTACACATACAAAATTAAAAGCAACAAGAATCTTGCGAAGAGAGTTGCACATGCCCTGTCTGAAGTGTCACAGGACTGGTAACGGTACCCTAAAAGTTAATGTTTGGGTCGCTGATGTACCAAATAAGTTTAAAGGTTTACAATTTCAGATTGAGAGTTTTATTCAGACTAATATTTCAGCAAAAGTTTTACTTGTATGACAAGCAATAGGGACAGATTGCATAGAATCCATGTTCCTGTTAAAGCAGTGAAAAGGTTACAACTGGAGATCATCACCTCAGAGCAGAAACTTGGCAGGTAAACACGCAAATGTTCCTGGTTCGCAGTTGCACTGAGTGAAACAGACTTTATGTAACACCTTCACTGGTGATGTTACGCAAACCCACTTTAACTTTAGCTGTGCATATCTTAAAGTGAATGTTGTGCACTGTGATCACTGCACAGCAGTCAAGGAAGGAACGGTCTCTCTCTGGATGACCAGTTCTTTTTTTCCAGTCACAAGCACACCACAGTCGGTAAAATTTTAAATGCATCTCAAATATAATCACATGTGATCTCAAGGTGGAGATTTTTAGTGAAAGCACTGGAAGCCTAGTTTGGGTGTAGTATATTATGGCCAATACTACCAAACAGCAGAATTTCCACATTCCCAAACTTGGCAGAAAAAAAAAGAAGGGAGAACTTTGCTTATGAAACTAACATTGAACACTAATTACAGACATCAGTTTTCTATTTTGAAGACTGTATTCTTTATAATGCTAATTCTTACAAAACTATAAATACTGAATATATACCCATTACTTAATTTACTGTTTACCATAGCTCGTGGTATGGGGGTTTTTTGCTTGTTTGAAGTACTTGGAACATTTCTTTGAACTTCAGTATTAAAGTTTTCATTGAGCAAACAGGGACCTTTCCTTTTAAAAATTATCGACATTATTAGGAGGTATGCCCCTTTCAGATTGTTGGAATTCTCCCTCTCTAAAGATCTGCTTTGTTCATTAATATTTTTTATTTACCATTTGAAACAGTAAATATCTACTAACACCAAGTAAACAAATACAACTCTTCAAAGTAACATTAGTAGTGGACATCTAATTAAAAAATTACTAAATACTGGATAAACTATTCAAACAGCAAAATTTGTCTTTTAAAACTGTTTAAACAGCAGCTATGCCTCAGAAAAGGGAGAATATGATACACTTTCCATAGTACTTTACAAGTAACTTACACTATCTATACAAAACCTAACCATCTAATACATTTAAATCACCAGCCCATCATTATTTTAATAAGTAGGCCATAGTATGGGCCCAATTGTGATACGTAATTAGATCAGCCTAACACGTTTCACAAAATTGAAATAAAGCAGAACTATATCACTTACGCGTTGGGCAACTTCTGCTGCAGCAGCTGCCATTGCTGCAGCTTTGGCCTTCTCTGCTTCATCGTAAGTAGGAAGAGAGGTAGCTACACTGTATGGAGGTGGTACAGGATAAAATTCATTGTGTGTTTCTGTTCAAAATAAAGAGGTTATGCATTTTTAAGCCAGAAAGATGTCAAGAGTGAAATTTTACATGCACATAACTATTGAGCTTTAAAGCATTTTCTTTCAACGTAGGCTGAAATTGATATTTGTATTTCAAGTTCCCATAAGTTTTAAAAAAAACCTTTATTTTTATAAAATAAAATAGTGACCAGCTTGATGGTGCTTTTAGTTGCTACTCAAGGCAGAAACCTTAACCTAGATGCTGCAAGAAACCAACGAATTTATGAACAAAAAAAATCATTATTTCCCGAGTTACATACCTAGGCATTCCAACCAAAGGCTTTTTATCAATCATACAGAAGACATGCACAGAAACATCCCCAAAAAAACTTTTAATTATCAACTAGTTACTTAAGTCCTGTAATAATCATGCTATATTTTTACTAGCATGGCTTTGTTGCTAACTCCAGTTGTTCAGTGAAAATCAGTTTTCCCAAGATTTCAATTTCACCACATTCTGTTAAAAATGTTCCTTCTCTCAAAATGGACCACAGACTTCACTCTTGCATATTGAAATACTAAAACATCATCCTATAGAGCATAATTGTTAACAAAATAAATAAAAACCTATTTAAAATACACCTTGAGCTTACACCTACAGCCAGGAGTTTGTAACAAGGTTGTTTACGAAGTAAAGATTTCTCAGCACAGGTCACAGGGTAAAAAGATTTCTCAGCACACCAACACAAAGATGTTATATATAGGGATAATTCTGCATAGCTATATGTTATACTTACAAACACTATCACAATGAACAGGGACAGGAAATTGCTCCTTTAATGAACATTAAAAAAGGAGGTTACTTCTAAAACATTTGGCACATGGGAGAATCAAATCCAAGCAACTTTGCTTAAACAGAAGCTTCGATGTTGCCTGCTGTTAAGTCTCCCATACCCCAAAGTCACAACCTCCTCAGAAATGAATAAATGGAGAACGCGACCCGTTACTCATTTTCCACAAGAAGTTTCATCAAAAGCCTTTAAAACAAAATGAATCTTTTTATGGCAATGTTTCCACCAAACAATAGCACACACTTAAGAAGTCTGAGTTTTCACAAATCAGTGCTTTTTTTTTTAATAAAGAGGCAACGAAAATTGCTAATGAGGTCCAAGAATGGAGCACTACTCAAAAATGTAGATTAAATGTGGAACTGAACTACATGCAGACTTAAATAAAACCCATTACACTAATTAACGAACATCCATTTAGTCTAGTAATTTGGAACAATCAGAATAATTTAGAAGCGTGCTGCTTCTGAACAAGCCAGACAAAGGACTGTGCATGAAAGCATAGCTTTTTACTGCAATGGTGCGTGTAGGAAAAAGAACACCATACTGGAGCATTGTACCACTTTGAACCAAGTGCTGATTCATACACGCTCCTCCCTGACAAGCTGTTATGTAAGAAAAATACCTGAGGTTGCAGCTGCTTCTACAGCTATGCTACAGTATGGTGGAGGGGAAGTATCTGCATCAGATAGGGCTGCTGTCTGGGGAGTCTGCGTAGTCTCTGTAGATGTGGAAGGCTGCTCAGCTGCTGAAGACTCTGGGGGGTCATCCTCATTGTGAAGCTTAGAAGAAAAACACACAAATTTCAGATGCATTCAGGGAATACTTTCCATGACAACCTAGTACTTGCAGAACCATCTTCAAAAAGAGAGAAGATTACTCTTCAGCAAAACAGAAATGTCTAAAACAGCACACGATTACTTTAAGTAGTCCAGTTAAATCCTTTTAAGCAAACAGCTAAAGAGTATCTTAACTGTCTTCCCCCCCACCTGCCTGAAATGAATTTCTTCTCATCAGTGACGTTCACAGAGTCTTAAAAATCTGGGGGGTTTAACGTTTACTACATGAGAAAATGCTGACTAGAAAATATGTTCTGTTATACGAATATTGTAATGCTATTACTTTTTTTTTCCCTTAAATACACTCATAAAATATATTAACCCATTTGAAAATACAACAGGTGAGCAACATTATCTTTTATTGTATTACTCTACAAGAAATTAAAAAATAAGACACATTTCTACTTCTGTAACTGGGATTTTTACACTCTTGCATCTTGTCAGAGAGCTTCTCTGCTCAAATTCAAACACTTTTCAAAAGGTTTGGCTTTACTTTACAGTCTGGAAAGAATCCTTTCCCTATAAAACTTTAAGTTGCTGGCTTGTTGGGTTGTTTGTTTTTTTAAAAATGTAGTATTATAAGGATGTGCCCAGTTAAGCATATACAGAAATAAGAACTTTGATAAGGAAGAACATTGATTAAAACCGTTGAATTCGGATCCAGCAACCAGTATGTTTTTAGAGAATGTGTTTCTGATTATTTCAGATAACTTGACAGTGTTTAGAATACAAATCAAACTTTAAGAAGAAAGCCTACCAGCATCAAATAAAAAAGTGCCCGTTCCCACTAGCGTAAACTATAAGGTAAGTTGCCTAGAAGGCAACTACTGAAGTACCATATTTAAAACCCAGAAAATAAGATTAGTAAGTTGAACATATCTGAAAAGTCTTTTTTCAGATTGAATTCTACTTCAATTGGTAGTTTCTATGAACACTCTAAAGAAAAATATTTTAATTTCAATAAGAAAAACTTTAAGACTAGAATGACATTAATTTCATATTAGGCAAAGTACAATCAGATTAATGGAAAAAGCACATTCTGAGAAGAAAGCAAGCTAAATTCCTTTTTAAGTAGTGTAATATTCACACCAAAATTGGTTTATATCCAGAGTATACCAAAGTTCAGAGAGTGGTTGAGGTTGGAAGGGACCTCTGAAGGCCATCTCGTCCCTGCTCAAGCAGGGCCACATAGAGCTGGTTGCCCAGGACCATGTGCAGATGGCTTCTGAATATCTCCAAGGATGAAGAATCCACAACCTCTCTGGGAAACTTGTGCCAGTGCTCAGCTTCCTGCTGTTCAGAGGGAATGTCCTGTGTTTTTCTGTGCGCCCATTGCCTCTAGTCCTGTCACTGGGCACCACTGAAAAGAGCCTGGCTCTGTCCTGTTCACACCCTCCCTGCAGGTACTTATACACACTGATGAGATCCCCCCGAGCCTTCTCTTCTCTCCAGGCTGAACAGTCCCAGCTCCCTCAGCCTGTCCTCACATGTGAGATGCTCCAGGCCCTTCATCGTCTTGGTGGCTCATACTGGGCTGTTCCCAGTATGTCCATGTCTCGTACTGAGGAGCCCTGGGCATAATACTGTGGCCTCAGCAATGCTGAGCCGAGGGGAAGGGGACAGACACATCCCTTGACCTAACGGCAAAGCTTTGCCTAGTGCAGCCCAAGGTACAGTTAGCCTTCTTCATGGCAAGGGCACATTGCTGGCACCTGTTCAAGTTTTGCAGGTTACAAATTCCGTGCTTTCCTTTCTAATGAAAAACTAAGGATACAAGCAGGAATTATAAGCATAGAAGACATTTCAACAGTAGACAGTTAAATTGAAAAGATAGTTCAAGGGAAAACAGAAAATGTTTTAAAGGAAGTTAGTGTAATTTTCACAGGGCTTCTACCACACTTTTCAAATGTGTCAAATTAGAAAAAGTGGTAAAGTTACTCGCTGAAGTGTTTTTCATCATTTTTCAGGAGTCTCTCTGAATACTGTATTCAAAGAACTATACCTTAAAGGGTTTATCTATACACGTAAACTACATATATATGCATACGCATATTTAAGTATATATACACACAGGCACAAAACACACATGAGCACATACTATTACGGAGAAGTCACCTTCAGTGGAACTGATAGGGGTTACTAAGGGTTTCTGGGTACTGAGCAATCAGGTCATTTAATGGCTAATCAGTCACCCAGATGAAGTAGTAACCTGAGAAATATGTATAACTATTTAGAGTAGTTAAGGCTGAAGAAAACAAAACCACTTCAAAGTAACACAATATATTTAGGGATACAGAAAGCAAGCGAGAAGACAAAACAGTCTATTTAAAAAGGTTGAGCAGGTCAGAAAAACAACTATAGAGCTACAGAAGTTATGGTTCTAAATTAAGTACAATTATTCTCAAGAAAAATCCAGCATTGCAAAGGATATAGCTCAAGTAAAACCATTTTAAAATAAAACTGTCATTTGACTAGCTATGAGACAAATAACAGAACATTACTGACACACTTTTACACTAATGGTTAGTATGCCCACCCTCACTTGGGATGCGTGTGTAATTCTGACTACCCCACCACAACAACCTGGTCTACAAGCAGGGAAAAAAGTAAAGCCTAGTTAATGCATTTCTGCGTTACCTCCATTCTTCCTCTCCTTTTGCCATCCACTTCAACCACTGCAACTTTTTTTCCCTACCAAGCCATAGTATGGGCTGTCACTATCCTGAAGACACACAGAGATCCACAGCAGCTCATTGGTCAAAGTGCGCATTACTGCTCAAAACCCACTTTGCCATTATTGAGGAAATTAGTTTTGTCTTCTAGATGCTTTCTTGAAAGCTACCTTTCCCCAAATTATCTGTAATTTAAGAACAGCTACAAACGATGGAGGTAACACGAGGATGGAAGAACAACATACACATGAGACTCCTTGCCTTCAAAGGCCAAGTTAACAAGTCGTTCAATTGTTACAGCAACTGCAATTAGGAAACAAAAATTCCATCCTAAGGGCTCCATACAAAAGAGTCCCGTTATGCTCTTTAGTGCATTCAAAAGGTCTTTATTTTGTAGAACTCATATTCAGCGACCAAGCATTTCTATTTATCCTGTCTTCTACTACACAGACCTTTCTGAAATTCTGAAAGGCATCAAGGTTATCCTAATGCAGCAACTCCAAGAAAATACAGAAGATTCCTTACAGAATACCCCATCATAAAAGTCACAAGAAGTTGATTAAGCAGCGTGAGTGTTTACAGCTAGAATAATAAACACAAGTTGTTCCATGAACAGAAACCAGCTTTTGTTAGCTCTTGTTCAAGAGTCCTGTCTCCTAGCCTCTCCTCAAGGCAGTAACTTCAGCTCCTCTCAGGGGACTTCAGTGGGGTAAAAACCAAACCAAAACAATAAAAACCCACAACTGTAGCAGAACTTGCCCCAGCAAGCTGGAAATTTTGCCTATGCCAGTAGGGTAGACAGCAGTGGTGTCTTGTAGCAATGCTGCCTTGTCTTCATAGGGCACTGATTCTCCTCTGTGGTGTCACCAGTTTGCTTGAAACCAGTAGGAATCTGACTACCTTTGAGCACCCTCCTTCCTGTTTAATTTTGGCTTATACTGGGTGGTAAATTTAGAAGTTATTTTTGGAGACAGGGGAAGACGAGGCCTGACACTCTGCATAGGTTTCATTGCCATAGAAACCAAGCTAAAAACACTCAGGAGGGAACAGAAAATGTCTGTTTCAAGGCATTACTTACGCTATGTACTTATACGTTACCTGAAATAGCATTTAACATTAAAAGTATAGAAATTGTAGCTAAGATTTTTTTCCCCCCAATAGTAAGATTATTTTGCCCACTTTTTTAATTGAAGGAGTAAGGAGAACTCACAGTTCATCATCCCAGCCCCTTCCCAAGCCCCCAGTGAAGCATTTTATGGTAGTAAGCAGTATACCTGCTTTTGCCAAGATTATGGTCAAAACAATTGCCAGGACCTATTAAACCACAGACAACTGTAAATTAGTCACATGCCCTGCCAGCCACCCTCACATTTTAAAAGCAGGACACAAAGACCTTCACATCTTAGTCTGTACACAGGATAACTGGCTGACTATATGGAGCTTGAAAATTGAAAAAAAAAAAAAAAAAACAAACCAAACCAAACCAAACCATGGAATGCTTTATTAGACATATTACTCTTAAACTGTTTATACAAGTATTTCAATTCCTGCTTTTGCAGCCCTCAAACTACAGCACATTACAGGCTCAAAAGTAATGATGCTCATATTCTCAAGATATATCTATGCTAAGACACTTAAAATTGAAAGTTCAATCAAGGAGCCATAGCTCTTCCACTGCCAATGACTCAAAACCTCATGGTAACTACTAAAGAGCATACAGTACAGGAAAACACATTAGTTTCCTTCATATGATTTTTACCCTATACTATCTTCACTTTCTTTCTATAAAACAGTGATTTACTACTCAATTTCAGAAGAAGTTAAAATCAATGTCATACCTTCCAGCACCAAAATACTGCAGAAAATACAGCTACCTTTATTTTACAATTTCTTTTTTATATATATAAATAATTTCTTTAAAGAAGTACTGCATGTCCTCCTGCAATTTATTTCCTTAAGTCTGCTATTTTGCTTATGTAATTATTTCCACAGTAATCAGATGCAATGCCTGACATCAGCTGACACCCTACAAAGAACATAAACCACAAGAAACTGCTTAGTACAGAAACCTTTACTGAGGGGACTGATGCAGATACTTTTACTCTTCAGGCTTCTCAAATAAAAACTTAGAGGAAGAGCTCATTCTCTACTTAATACTTTTAATTTACCTGCAGATAATAATTTTGCCTGACCTACAAAAGTTTGCTTGCTTGGATAAACGGCTTGCTTCATTTGTGATGAACTGATTAATTGTACAAGAGTGTCAATAAAGACAAGTTATTAAAATATGCCAAATATTTAAAAAAAGTCAAGGGAAAACAATATAAGATGTCTTATGTCAACTGTAGCTTAAACATGAAAGATGAGAACGTTTTCTGATAAAGTGCATTAAAATAGCACATGCTAACTCTAGTCACAGCGTAACACACAAAGAGCACTCGCTATTTCTGTTACCTGATTGATGCACATTTCAAAAGCCGTTTTCCCATTTCACAAAATATGATTTACAGAAATCAGTACATTATAAAATTATTGTAACATAATTAAACAGCACATTGCAAGCATTTTAAAAGACTTTCTTTATAAACATACACTATTTTCATGCTATTTATATAATTTCTTTAGTGTAGCATAAAATTACGCAGAAGATACTGCCATACAGGGGGAAAAAAAAACAACCAGGCAACTAGCCAGCTTTCTTTTCCTGTTTCCTTTTATACTTTCATTACCAGCTCACCTCGGCAAAGCCTGACTTTTAGGTAAGCTTTTCCATAGGTTTTAGTCGTGGGCATCACAGAGCTTCACAGCATTCTCACTAGCAATTGTAAACTACGAGCTCTTTGAACATGTCTTCCTGTCTAGCCTTTCAAATGATATTACTATTTTGAAGAAGCTTGGCTCCTCTAGTTTTGACCTCACAACAAGCAGTTCATGGATTCTTTCAAACTGCATCAAAATACATTGCATAGAAACTCCATAACTCTGGACCTAATACTCCACTTTAAGTAAAGGCGTAGAGACAACTAAGTAGATCATGCAAGTTCAATTTCTGTATGCAAACCAGTCAGCTGGTACACCTCCCCCACAAAAAGCAACACTCTTAGCAACAGAGGTTCATCATCTTCGTTTTTTAGAAGTTAACACTTTGGTCCTCCAGAGTCAGTTTTTCAGACTATGCCAAAAGGTCAACCAAAAATATCCACTTACTGCAGCTTCTAGTTCTGGAGGGAAGGGCATCGCAGACTCATCTCAAGATTGTAAATCTGTAGTAAACTGTCCCCTACAAATGAGGCTTGAAAGCAGAATTCTCTACCTACACAAAAATAACTTCACTTGAACAAACACAGGCTGTGTATTAAAAGCTTGTTTTGTAATCACATTTTGCCATTTTTCAGCTTTAGGAGTCTAAAAATAGGTTTATTCATCTGTAAATAGCAAAATATTAATCTTGATTTTCAAGGGGAAAAAACAACAGAAGGAAATCTTGAAATAAAATTTAACTCTGAACGTGTTACAAAACTACTTCATGTTGGGAGACAGCTTTGACCTCTGTTTACCCATCTCTATTGTTTCTGAATGACACCTAATAGTCTCAACAGCTCATGCTATCAACTATTACTTCTTTTTATTTTTAGAAAAAAAACCACAAAACTTATACCATTAACCCATAAATGCCATTCAAGTGCTAAGATGAATCAGCCCTGATTTAGGTCACTGGTAGCCACTGAACAATCAAAACTAAAAGAATAATCTCTAGTTACATTTAGATAAGATTTATAAGAGATGAAGAGATAAATCCTTCTGCAATATAAATGTTTAATTTTTCTTGTTTATCGGGAAAAAACTTATCCATAACAGCCTTTGAAAGAATATTTCACAAATTTGTAAAGTACGAGAAAAAAAAAAAAAAAAAACAAACCACATTGTATTTTAACTTACTAGCTTTCATCCTCTACCAATAAGGTAGTTTACAACAACATGCCTTTTTCTTCAAATTCCTGTTGTAACACCAAGCTACCACGAACCTGTGCATACCAGCCAGCAGGAAGGCAGCTATCTACAGCTCAGCACCAAACACACTCTCCTGCAACAACACAGACCTGGCCACAGCCACAACACTCCAGAGAAACAACATCCTCTAGAGACTGGGAAATCTTCAGATTAATAAATACTAAAGCACTAAGCAATTAAGCTTATAAGGTGCTTCAGTACATTCCAGTAAAACACAGACGTCCAGCAACCTTCAGCTACTTTTTGCTTTTATGTATTTAAAACTAAGTGATCAAATTTGATCAGAATTCCTGACTGCACAGAAGAGATCCACATCACTTTTTTCCCCACCATCTCATCATTTGGCAAGCATCAACTATCACATACACAAATCTGGCAACAGCCTTTCATGACAGGGGAGAGTTTGGTTTTTTCCTTGATACATCTGTGCAGAAAGTTTTCAACAGCAGCCAATGCGGTAGAAGGTCAAAGGTGTAAAATCTGCACCAGAAGCAAGCAAGCAGAACAGAAGTCCATTGCTGCCATTCCACAGCTGTGTAGAAATACCAAGTGTCTGCTAAATAAGGATTAGGTACCATGGAAACCCACAACCTCTGGAGACAAACTTCTACCGAAAAGAATCCGAAGAGGTTTATACTGAATGTTGTTGAAAAAATACATTGCAATAGAATGGCTTTTCTGTCAAAGTGAGACTCCTCATGTAAAAATAAAAGTGATCCATAGCAAGTGAAACCGGTTTACATGCACTTCACTTAAGTGATAGGTAAATCATTTTAGTCAGTTCCTTTAACTAGGGATCTTTAACCTACTGGATTTTTCAAGGTTTCTTTTTTTAAAAGAAACTTATAAGTGTGTCAGAAGGAAAAAAAAAACACCAAAACCAAAAACGAACAAAAAGCACAATAATTGTGATCAGGACCTTATGAAGGAAAAAAATACGAAAATTACATATATAATGTGTGCGTAGATAAGCATGTGACTGTGTGTTTGTATATATATATATATGTATCTCCATCCCAATGGCTACTTTACATGTAACATTTTACTTGCTTTTTCATTTTTTGTGGATTATAAACCAGATTTAAAC